GCCGCGTTGTGGCCGGTGCAGCGGCGCGCCGGGGACTGCATTTGCATAACAAGAAGCGCATTCCGGCGGCGCGGACGCCAAGGCCGACGCAGATGGCGCCCGCGACGGCGGCGGCGAGGGAAGGTGGGGCGGCACGGGCCATGGAACGGGACCGTCGGCGGGGACGAGGGCTACGGAGCGGTGATGTGCAGAGCGGGCGGGGCATCGAGGGCAGGAAACTGAAGGATGGTGGAATGGGGAGAAGGAGAAAAAGAGGGTGGGCGGCGAGCAGGTGGTGAGAGAGGGCGGAGAGGGTCAGTGGTTGTGGAACAGAAGGGGTCGGGAGTGGTAGGGACACGGGAAATTAGAGGGACAGCAGGGAAGTATTGCGTTGGCAACAGGAGGGCGGAGAGGAAAGGGAGGGACAAGGCGACAGAGGTGGTGGAAACGGTAAGATCGACAGAGAGCGGTGAATGATGAAGTCTGATGAAACGACAAAGAAGAGAGTTCCAGATCACGGTACAGATTAACAGAATGCCGGTGAAGGTTTGAAGTGAAAACGATCTATATTATAATGCAAAAGAAGGGTAGTGCATTGTGGAAAACATCTCACGAAAAGAACATAGTATTATCATTCCGGAGAGCTACCAAATAAAGACACCATTAATAGCCAAATTTGTCACAAATAAATAATTGGGCTAAAGGGGTCAAAAGAATTGATTCAAAAAATACCAGAAGATCAATAAAATGGTTTAGTACACAACAGATGTACGATTCAAAATAAAAATTAAAAAAACAACATGTTGACGATATTTTTCTATGAGAAGGAAGAATGCAAGAAGGAGACGTAAAACAATATGAAAAAGTTGTCGAAACAAATGCTAGAGAATTGCAAAACATAACGGAGTCTAATCCTTAAACTATCATTTAAATATTCGGACAAGAAACTTACGTTTTCATTACCCCTGACAACTTCCAATAAGCCCCTTCCCAATATTGCGATTATTTTTAACGGTCTAATCGTTAAAATATGTTTTACATCAAAACAAAGTATGGATATAATAAGATTAAAATAGATATTTCAGTCATATTACATTAAAATTTGGAAACAGATTAATACAAAAGCAACAGATGAAACCAACCATATTTAAATTGAAACAAATAATGTGCTGAAAACATCCGCAAACTACAATGTTTGTCCCCTTGTCGCTATCCCACCCGCATTGTGTGCCTGTAATTTAATCCCCTCGATTCGCAAGGATTCGTAAGCACGAAGAGAGGTTGCCAAAACGAGCAGGCACAAAGCGGAGACTCTGGATGCGGGTGGCGGAGGGGAGTCCAGATCTTCCCTCAGACGCCACCGGAGAGGGAGGGGAGGGGAGAGGAGGGGAGGGGAGGGGGAACGAGGACACGAGATAGCAGACAGCGATAGCTAGCCGAAGCACGCAGCGAAAAAGACCTTTCCTCAGAGGTTTATTTTTTTGTGCCGAAGAAGCCATTCATTTGCACAGAGCCCCTGGCCCGGTGAGGCACAGTGCGAGAGTTGTTCTCTGGCTATCATTCCAGAAAGGGCAGTCCTTGAAGCTGGGTAGGGTGTTGCGTGCAGTAAATAATGTTTACAGTGAACGGTGTGGGTGATATATCAAACAAGTTATTACCACACAATCGCACACGAGTATTTTTCTGAGCCAAGCGATTCGTAAAGACGCAATTGAAGAAGGAAGTTGGAAGAACAGAAGTGCTGGAGATTGCAAAGCGTTTCTGCGTTATAACTCAAAACGAAGTGAAAAAGGAGATCATATAATCCCGTACCAAGTGTATAACACTGTTGAATGAAAATATTCACAATATTTTGTTATTTTGGTTGTATGAGTTTTATTTACTTTTATGGCTGTTTTAAAGAGATTTATTAGGCGGCAAAACAGTCATAAGCTGGGTATGGATTAATTAAATAAGTCGATTGCATGATCTATTATTTTATCCGAACACTCAATAGTCCATTATTTCTCATCAATATTGCCACAAAGCAATATTTTTGTTGAATGGAGTTATTCGTATACCCGTAACCCAGTGCACTTTAAAGTTAACTTCTTTCAAATAAACGTCACCCAAACCAAGATATTTTCAGGAGCATTACATTCCCATCCTGTCCCAGATGAAGACTTATTCGATAGAGAAGGATGCAAATTCTACAATCTTTGAACACGTACCTACCGCAGTAATTGAATGAGGAAATATTGAATTCTGAAGGTAAATTGCTTAGTCCCCGATTTTGAAAACGAGGTTACATCAATTGAAATCAAACATTAAATTACTTAAACTGCATCCTTTGTTAGCAGTCACCATTTTTAGGTTTAAGTAGCTTAATAGCATTTTGGGGTTTTAGTAGCCACACCCTACGCTAATATGAGATCATTTAGTTCTTCTTTTGATTATAAATTCAAGAGTTTTGAGAGCGAAAAGAAACACACAAAATCTAAGACGAAAATCGTCACCCTTCTCTCTTCGAGCAAATCACGTAAACAAATCACCGGAAGGAAATATTTTAAAAAAGCTTGACTGCAACCGAGTGCCCTGCTCGTCGAGGTCTGACGCGCCCCACCCGTTGTGCTCGGAATCCAGGCGAGGGAATATTGTTGCGCTGAGGGACGGCCTCTCCGTGGCCGCAGCTCTCCAGAGTCTGACGGTGAAAAACATAGCCCCTCTTCCCTCGGCACGGAAAAAGAAAGGTCATCTACAAATTAGCGGCCGAGCGGATATTGTTGCTCTGAGGGACGACCTCCCGCCCGCGGCGCGCCGTGACGGCCCGTGCAGACCGGTTCCCGGCGGCCGCGCAGCCGCCGCCAGCGGGTAACTTACGGCGGCGCCGTCTCCCGCGCCTTCCGAGAAACGAACCGAACCGAACCGCGAACGGTTCCCCGAAAGGCGTCGCCCGCCAAGGCCTCCGCAATAACTCCTCCACCCCCCACCACACCTGGCCTCGCCGGCCAGAGACATCGCGACGCGTCCGGCCCCATCCACTCGCTCACGGCGACACACATTCGGATCCGAGCGGATAAATAATAATCAGGTTAAATCTTTTGATGTACCCGAATAGATATATTTCTAAACCAATATTTCGATACATCGGTATTCCCATAAACTGATAACATATATTTAACTTTTGTTCCGTCAATAGCAATTCATTGAGAAAGGTTACCATTTTTCTTTGAAAAAAAAAATATTATTCAACAATAACAAAATCATTTCAATTGAAATTTAGAACTTTCATTTAGGAATTCATTGACGGTAACGGACTGGCCCATAAAAATGTTAAGCTGGGTTGCGCATTAATAATTTAGACAACTATTTCTCGATCACATTGCGACACATCCCTAGGAAAAAGCATCACCGGTTATCTTTCTGATTCAAGATATAAAATATTTATATTAGTAATACCTATACACAAGACGCATACCTGTTTTTGTTTTTTCTTTTCTTTTTCCCCCCTCAAAAAACGTATTACTTCACTCGAAAATAAAATTTGATTAGCCATCCCATTAATTGTCTTTTCATAATAGTACATTACTATATAATCCTCAATATTTCAACGAGTACCTAGGATTAATTTTTTTTATAAATCAATAAATTCTATCCCTAGGGAAAAAGCGTTTTTTTTACTATACCTCAAAACAAAATTAAGCGATTGTTCCGTAACTGGGCTAAACAAAATTATTTCCGGTAGTAATATTGACGTTAAAGTCAACGTAGCGCGTGTAAGCACTTTCTCCGAAATCCACACAGTTCTGTTTGAAATCAGTGTGAGCACATGAAACCGCCCAGTGTTCTCGCAAAAGACGTTAAGAGATTGCTGCGTCTGCACCAATGAAAGCGCAAGTGCACACATCTACTCAGCACACACAGGAACAAAACACCGATGCACTAAGCAACCTACAGTACTGTCAATATTACCGACACGAGAGATGCGAAAGAAAACACACAAGGACTCACGACTCAATACTCACACGAAGATTAAATATGTACACACCGATCATGCAAGAGGTAGCACGCCATAGGCGTCCCATAATACCACTGGAACTTAAATATGAAAGGGGCAGGGCAAATAATTAAAAATATTGTACAAAAAAATTCATTTAACACCAAACAACATTCAACAGCGTCATATAATGTATTTCTCTGTGCTCTTGGTGTACTGAAAAGGAATATTCACCAATGTTCCAGATATATTAGCACAATTCAATAGGTTTGTCAGTAACTGTAATTGGTAGAACATCCACCACATAGAAAATCACTCAAAATTAACAAAAAAAGGGAAAATTGCAAAACCAGTCTGGTATTTTGGTGAATATCCAGGCAGCTTGTTTTTCATTGGAAACAGAATAAAACTGAGCCAACTGTAATCAAAGCCACACACACGGCAACATCCAGAACATTACCAAGGTGCTTACTCAAGCAGCAAGAAAGAATAACAGCAACGCAACACAAAACATACCCAACAAGTGCAGAGAAAAACAATAACTGCAAGCAAGTATAGCAAAACATACACTCTAACACACACGGAACGCCACAAAACACAAGAGCAGCGGGTGCAAACAACCAAGCGCCGGCCGCACGGGCCGCTAAGGCAGGCGGACAAACAAAGGACGACTTACAGAGGGCGAGCAGCACTGGCCGCCGGCGCCACCGGCCGTGCACACGTGCAGGCACGTGTACGTCTGCAAGAGAACACACGCACACCGTCACCACACGCGCCAGCCACCGCACACACTGCCCGGCGGCGACCCGCGTCAGCCAGAGCACACCAGCCAAGGCACGTCAGCCAGGCGGCGAAGCGTCCCCAGCAGCCGCTTCCGACGCCGACGCACTAAGCCCGCTCGACCACCCTCATCCACTTTCCACCGAACGCTTCGATTGTGCACACACACTTTCTTTCTTTCTTTCTTTCTTTTTACTGTTTTTTCCCCTTTATTTTGGGTTTTATTGTTTGCGGTTGCTTTGTTAATTTCTTTTGCTTCGTTTTTCAAAACGCAAATTCACCTTCTCGAAAGCAGATTAGTTTGCGTATACCTTCGGGTCCCAAAACAGATTTATTTATTAAGTCAAAATACTTGCATTGAAAAAAGGGCATGTCTTACACTTCATAACACATTTTAAACTCATAAAAACTGCATTAGTTATGTTAATCACAGTCTCCCAAATAAACCAAAGAAACAATTGTCCTATTATTTGACTTTCAAAAATTCGATTTAGAAAAAAAGGTTCCAAGACTTCTCCATACATAAAATCTGAACATTTTATTTTTATATCTTAATTTTTAAAATTTTATAAAGTTAATCATTATTAATAGAGATATATAATATTATTAATAGAGATCTATTTTATTCGCACAATTGTACTAATTTACAAGGAACACAAATTCAATAAAGATACCTTCCTTTCACCAGTCAAATATTGACAAGAATTTATTATTTCATTATACATTAAGATAAAAGGGAATATCGAAAACTGAAACAAATACATTTAATATTGCACACTGTTGCCTTTAGTTTGGAGATTTTTCACACCCATTACATAATTCAATCCAAAAAATGCTTCAAAGGCTTTATAGTGCTTACAAGTGAGAAAAACTTTTAAATGAAACTCAAACATTGTTCAATACGACAGTATTAATATTACGTCAAATAATTAAATTTTTGAGCTACAATGAGATTCTAAAATTAAAAAAAGGTTGAACTTGGAAACAAAACTTAACAAATTATAAAATCTCTTTGCTAACTGCTCTCGCTGTAATAAAAACAACAACATTGGCTTGTGTCTGTGATGCAATCTCTAAGAAAATCAAATTTTTGAATGAAGTTTATATTTCCTAATATTTCGGAAATATATTTATTTCCCCCTTCCCTCTCACAAAATCTGAAAAGTTAGCATTTGGTTTAAACTAAAAACTAAGCAGAAGCTAAAAACATTTTAAAACAAACTAAATGGTAACATTTCTAGCAACCCTCAATAGCATCTCTGCATTGTACGTATATAATACGGGCATTTTCATTAAAACGACACACTTCCCCGAACTATGACCGCGTAACGCATAACACCTACATCATATCGACACCTCATTATTTCCTTCCGCTCGCATACACACGAACGTCGACTGCATATTCCTTATGTGACAAGCAATTTCACGGTGTTTTCCCTGCATATTTTCTGCACTTTTATTTCCCTGCTGTTGTTTGTCCGGTTTCCCCAGTCTTTCCTGACATTTTGCCCCCCCCCCCCTCGTGCAATGCAACGGAATGCAGGGGAACGCGTAGACACTCGCGGGGCGGTGAGTTGTTGAGTTGCTGAGTTTGCGCACGCGATTGCGCGAAAGCAACTGGGCCGCCCGGTGCTTCCACGCGCCGCCGCTGCGCTCCAGCGCTGAAGCGGCGCGTGCCTGCTCCAGATGCCCCCCCCCCCCTCCCCCAACCCACCCATCCATCCATCCACTCCGTCGCCGGTCGTCGAACCCACGACCGACCCGTTTCATCTTACCATCTCCCTCCCCGGCTCGTAAATCTTAAACATACGATTATTTTTTATGGCTCCTTTCCACATTCAAAAACAAACCTACACTAAAAAAAGTAATTTCTTACATCCTTTTGTTTTTACGTCACCTACTAACGTTACCTGAAAAAAGTAAATTAAAATAAGGCCTTTCAATTTCTTTTCTTTTTCTTTTTTTAGAGTTAACCATTTTCATTATTACTGAAGTGGTTCCAGAAAAAGTACCAGGAATTGAAAAACTAGCAACTCTCTCAACAAAGTCGGAAAGTATGAGCTGTTGCGAAAATAATAACCTGTGCTTCTAGGAAGTAACATTACATTATTGTAAGGATACCCGTTTCACTATCAATAGACTACGGATATCCCCTCAGAAATTGCAAATTCGCAAAATGGTATGTCAACGTCTATTAATTTAAATACTTTTAATTGATTAGCACTACACGAACTACAACTGACTTCGATTCCTTGCAGACGTTCAAAACTTTTCAGAAATTTTGGTGGATCGAATTTATCCGATATAGGAAAAGAAAATATACATGAATAGAGCTTAGCGCATAGCCGTTCATTTATGAAATAATTACGTTTTTTAAAAAATTAGATATTTGACACCCAAAATATTAATAATCTGAAGCTCAGATGCCAAAAATGAGCTCATGTTTATATTTTTAAACGTATAAAATGTAATTTAATTTGCAAACTGGCATGAGCTCATAAACGAGAAACAAAAAAACAAATATTGTACGACGCTGGGCGCTCAAACTTGTACATCTACTCTAATTCTGACAACAGCACCAGAGCAGACATCCAAGCATAGCCCAAACCCACCCTTTACAATCATGCAAATACTATATACAAGTTTTTACGACCCCTAGTCTTACACATACACTACTCCAATCTGTTCTACCTCCAACTAACAATTTCTCCCCAAATCAGGCACGTTTCACAGTCCATGCACGACTGCCCCATGCATTCGTACAGCTACTGCCACGTTTTCCAGAGAGAGAGTGAGAGACGGGAGAGGAAGGGGAGGTCACGATACACTGCGCTTGTAGAGTATTCCAAGTGCTACTGCGGGTTCCTTGCCGTGAGGAGCATCCAAAGACCAGCTACGGGGAAGGGTCCAGCGAAGACTGCAACCCTGCATTCCGCCACATCGCCGCTCGGGACATGCAACTAATCGTACCCGACGTG